CTTCTCCGGAGCTTTGCACCTGCTAGTCCATGTGCCTGGAGCGCCCTTCCACCCTCCTCCAGAGGCTAGCGACCACTCGTCCCTTCTGTCTCGCCAGGCCATCATTTCCTCGGACAGCCTCCCTTCCGCCCCCCATCCTCCTTCTCCGCAAACCTGCCCTCGTCGGCCAAATCCCACCAACCGCCAGCTCCACCTTTGCCTCCAGCTCCCTTCTCAACCGACCCCCAGATCCGCCGCCTCCTGGTTCCCACCTGGCACCAGCCCTAAATTCCTGTCGCATCAGGCCCCGCCCACCGCCCCGGATCCCGCCCCTGGCCCCACCCACGACCCAAAGCCCCGCCTCCGGCGGCGCCTGTCCCCGCCCACAGTCCCGGACCCCCGCCCCCCCTCGCCCGCCCATCGCTCCACCCACGACCCCAGCCCCGCCTCTGGCGGCGCCAGCCCCCGCCCCGTGCCCCGCCCCGCAGCAGCAGGCTCCGCCCGCCGGGCGCGCACTCACGGTAGCAGCCCTGGCGCCAATAGTGCGTGGGGAGGCAGTCGTCGCACTTGGGTCCCGCTGCGCCCTCGCGGCACTCGCAGAAGCCGGTCTCGTTGCACCGGTCGTGCACGGAGCCGATCTGGTTGCAGTTACACTCTGGACGGACACGTGCAGGGCGTGCGGTCAGGGCGACCTGTGGGCATCCTCTGCACGGACCCCCACCCCGCCCGGCCCCGCATCCCTCCAGCAGGCTCCCCGCAATCCCCCGGTGATGCACCCCACACCATGTCCGCGTGAGCCCACGGCTGCCCGAGGGTCCACATATCGAGGGAAGACTGTACTGTCTTGGTTCTCTAGCATCCATTACCCCCTCCCTCTCCCTGGCCCTGGCGCTCTGTGGCCTAGGGCCGCCCCAACCCCTCTCTGGACCTCAGTCTCGGTCTGTGTAACTGGAGGCAGCGCGGATCCTTCCCAGCTCCAAAGGGCTGTTAAGATTATTGACAGCTGGAAGGAGCTTCATCGGAGGCGGGGCATCTGGGCGGAGGGTGGGGCAGTAGTCCGCATCTGCATCTCCTCTCCAGGGCGGGGGGAGGAGCAGCCCAGAAGCCTCCAGCTTCTCCCTAACCCCTTCCCAGCTGGTTTCCTGGGGCCTCTGCTCTGTGGGAGGGGGCAAGTGTCCCCACTCTGGGACTCCTTGGAGCCCAGAGCTGGGCCCAGGTTAGGAGGCAGAGAGAGGCAAGGAAAGAAGAAGGATATTGGGAGGGGGGAATGCCTCCACTCGGATCCGGAGGCCCCACCCTGTCCCTGCAGCTAGCTGGTGTGACATGGGCAGCACAGTTCTGTTTGGTTCACTTTAGAGTTGATGGAATTATCTGAAGGCCGATGCCGATGCCGTGATCAGACGGACAGCTGCAGCCTTGTGGGCAGCCCCTCCTCTGTGAAGTCAGAGCTGACCTGGTGGGTGGAGGATGGGCAGTGGGGTGCCAAGGGGGGGTTGGGCACCCTAGGGCTGAGCTTTGACCTCCACGGAGACAGAGGCAGGGGTGGTGGGCAGCCCTTCCAGGCTGGTGGGTGTTGGCCGAGGCCATGGGTTTGGCCTTTCGGGATGGCCAGCTCCGGCCCGGGTCCAGGGCCCCCCCGGATTGCTTCTCTACCCCAAAGCCAGTCCGAGTGCCCACTGGTTATTACAAGCTGGGCCTCCGCTTATAAAGCATTAGAAGAACTTCACTGGAAGAAAAGCTTCAGCCACAAAAAAGGAGTTGAAAACCTTTGATCTAATCCACTTCCCCATTTTACAAGTGGGGAAACTGAGGCACACAGCAAGCTCTAGAACCAGTCTTTGACTCTAACTAGTGGCTCTGAATTGCCAGTGTCTGTGGGGATGACCGAAGGGGGAGGTTATCAATAGAGCAGATTCCAGAAGATTCTGTCCTTCGAGACGCCCAGCTGAAATGGGCCCCGGAAATGAAATTCCCCCTGGGGTTCCCCGGGGCCTGAGGACGCCAGGGTCTCCGGACTGCGCCCCGCCCCCGGCGCCCGCGCGCAGCGCCGCCCCGCCCCCGCGCCCAGCCCCGGCGCCTCACCTATGCACACGTTCTCGTCGTCCAGCTCGGCGGAGCCGTTGCGGTAGTAGCCCAGACGGCAGTGCTGGCAGTGCTGGCCTCGCGTGTTGTGCTTGCAGCTGACGCAGGTCACCACGTTTAGGAAGTCGATGTAGCTGCAGCGGTTGGAGTGGCCATAGCACTCACAGTCTGGGCCGGCCGAGCGTGAGAAACACCACGGGTCAGTGAGCCAAGGCAGACTGTGCCTTCCTGCCACCCCCTGCACCGTGTATTGGGGGAAACTGAGGCACGGGGCGAGGACAGACCAGCCCCAGGACATGCAGGGAAGGTGCCACGGGCCTCCAACACTTCTGTACCATCTGGGAGGAGGCAGGCGTGCCACCTTTGAGCCGGAGCGGGGACCAGTGTAGGCCCAGCGCCCAAGTTCCCACGTGGCCCTGGGGACAGGAACCCTGGGAGGGCCAGTGGACAGCCCCTGCCTGGCGGGGTGCCAGGGTGACGTGCTCTCGGAAGGATGCCTGCGCGATGCCGGGGTGATGGGAAATGATTCATGCAGGGAGGATGGGTCATGCGGCCAGTGTGAGCTCAGGAAGGACAGTGCCTGGGGTCATGGCGCTCACCACTGTACCCCCAGTGACTCAGTGAAGGATAGATGCATGCACGGATGCTGGGCAGATGGAATGGGCCAGGAGCTTCCTCCACATGCTGCTTTGGAAGATGCTGGGAAGGAAAACGCCCACCTGCTGGACCTTTTATTATTAGTCTGAGCTGTTCTGCAAATTTGATTGGCACCAGAGGGCCTCCTCTTGCACAACCCTGAGAATGAATGCCATCTTAGGGTTTGTGCCCGGGGCATCTCGTTTTGCCTCCTGATCGTCTTGGCCTGGCTTCTGACTCTTACTGCCCGCACACGGCTCTGGCTCCACACCGAGGACAGGGATCTCTGTGCCGTCCTGCTGTCCCCTCCAGCCACCCCCTCCCCGCCCCGCCCCAGCTCTAGGGACTGGGCGAGTCCCATGACTGCCAGGGAAGGCATCCTGAAGGCATTGGGGCTTCACTCCCTGCCCCCACGAAGGCGGCCATCCCTTGGTGTTCCTCCTAAGGGGCTCAACATCTCCTTGAACAGGAAAGTCAATGTGGCTGCCCTTGAACAGGAAGGACGCTGGCCACCCTCCCGAAACGCCATCTGTGTATCTCTAGAGGACCCAACCTCCCTTTGTGATGGGAGAGGAAGGAATTGACGAGGCCTTGGTGGTCAAGGGCATGAGAGACCTTGGAGAAACGAGCCTCGGAGCTGTGCCCAGGAGGAGACAGCGGGCATGCCACACCTTGGGCCTCCTGGACCTGCCCCCTTCACCTGTCCCTCCAGGAACAATGAGAAGGTGAGGCATCCAAGTGTCTCAAGGAGTAGTGGCAGTGACCCCTGTGTCCCAGCTCTTGCTTCAACGGAGACGAGCCCCCCTGGGCCACACCTCCCAGGGGGGCCAGGACAGGCGATTTCTGGTTGCTGCTCTGCCTACCCCGGGCCTGCCCACTGTGCTTCTGACTCATACCTGCTCCCAGCTCCCTTGGGGAGGAAGAACTGAGGGAAGAGAGGCTCAGTTTCACCTTGACCCAGCTACTCCGGGAGGGTTTTCTGAGCCAGGCGTGGGTCCTCCATCCTGCATCATTGCTTTCCAGCGGAGGTGAGGGTAGAGGTGCTGGAGGGGGGCTGGTCCGGCCCGGGGCCTTCCTCTTACCTTGGAACTCTTCAGTGGGCACCACTTGAGCCGATTTGGGCTTGAGCTGGAAAGGTTTGGAGGCCGGGGCAGGGGCAAGGGCGGTGGCGGAGGTGCCCACAGCTTGGAGAGATGAGAAATAAACTCCTTTGTCGCCATGGTCCAGCTGCCCAGGGCGGGCTGTCCGGGCCCAGGGAAGGCCCAACAAAGACTTCCACCGTGCCCTGGGCATGCTCTGGGGCAGCCTTGTCACCTGCTCAGTTGTGAGGGGACACAGCACATCGAGGAGCATGCAGAAACTGCCCTGCCTTTGGTGCCCCTTTGGAGACCACTTAACACACTCAGCTAGATTAATTCTCCCAAATTACTTCTCTAACCCCCAGCATCCCCTGACAGCATGCAAGGTGCTTTGCCGAAACTGCGTGATTTTTTTTTTTTTTTTTGGTAATGATTGCAGACATCACTTTGCTCTCCCCTCTCCTCTCCAAACTCCCGTGAGCATCAAATCCAGAGCATGGACCTGGCGTCCAAGGCTTTGGCTTCTCCCTTTCTGAAGCGTCCCCCGCTGCTCCAGCCAAAGTGAGTCCTTTACTATTCACAGATTCGCTGCTTGCCAGTGTTGTGAGCCATGACAACAGACTGCGCCTGCCTTCCGCGTCAGAACCCACCGGGGCCTGGCCCCACCTTTATGAGTGAGCATGACACTGTCCGGGCAGCAGAGTGGGCTCGGTGTCCCTCTGGGGGCCTGTGGTGCCCTAGTCGGTCCAGGGCAGGGGAGAGATGGTTCCAGAGGCTCCATCACCAGGGAGGACACCCAACTCGAGACCCTCAGCAATTGTGGGTCCAGCTCCAGAAGTGCCTGCCAGCAGAGGGCGCTGAGAACCCTGCTCACTGCTCACGGAGGGGCCCGAGGTGTGGGGCTGGGGTTGTTGTCCAAGCAGGCATTAGGACTAATGTCCAGGGAGCGGGTGAGCTGGGCTGGAAACAACCTCCCTTCCCGGAGAGTCAGACAAGGCCCTGTGTGCTTCCTGTGCATGTCCGTCTCTGGCTACAACGAGCCCACGTGTGTCTCCTCCTGCCGCCGTGGGAGACTGAGGCTCCGGGCTAGGTATCAGTACCTTGTACGATGCCCCCTGCCCTGCTCACTGCCACCCCACCATCAAGCCTCTGCCCTAGCTGGTCCTGCACCTGGAATGCACTGTCTTCTTTCATCTGCCCATAGCCAGCCCCACGGTCTCAGTCTGACTGCCACCCAGCTCCTGCAGAGGTCCTGGCTGACTCTGGGCTCCATCTCCGCCCCCCGGTGTCCTGTGGCTGACAGTGGCAGGACAGGGTTCCTACTATCAGGGCAGAGTCTCCACTTGGCTCCAAAGCCCTTGGGGGGAGTGAAGGACTCATAGGGGTTGGGCCTGGCGGTATCACACTGGGCATCTCTAAGAAGGTGAGAGTTGGGGTGGGGACAGGTAGAGCTCCAAGCCACCCCCCCCAGCTCCCATGGGCCCCCTCCCACCCCAGTCCCACCTGCTACCTCCACTAAAGAGGGAGGGGCCCGCGGTCTAAGGAGCTGTCTGGGGCGGGGGGCGGGGGGTCTAATGCCCGTGCAGGCCCTCCCCCCATACCTTCTGCACTGGAGGGCGTCTGGGGCCAGGGGGAGCCCTCCCCAAGGGGGGCAGCGGTAGATGACCTGATCCACTCTTGGGGGAAAGAAGAGAAGAAACTCAGTTATGTGACAAGGTGGGGCTGGGGGGGTCCTGGAGACAAACTGAGGCATCACACACCCTTAGCAGCAGCAGCACGGTAAGAAGCGGCTCTGTCTACACTGGCCAAATAGAACTGGGTCCAAATCTACTGAAGAGACAGCATCTACTTTACTGCAGCCTGTGGAGGGCACACGTGGACTTGAAGCCAGATAAGGGGAGTGGGGAGAGCCTGAGAATCTGCATGCTTTGGGCTGTCCTTTCCTTGGTGGAACACCTGATTTATATGACTTTTCTGCTCTCCCTGTGTTGTCCCTGTTCGTACTGAGGGTAGACTTGGATCTGGTCCTGTGTCTGGGCCCAGGCCTCTCTGTGCTGAAGTCCCTGGCTAAGGACTGTAAAGGGGGACATGTGTCATCCAACGTGTCCAGAAGGGTCCTTGAAGGCTTCCTGTCCAATACCAATGTGGGGACCAGAGCCCCTCCACCATCTGGCCTACCCCCCCAACCCACGGTTAGGACCCACTTTCACCAGGGACCCCAATGTGAGTCAGCCCCCAGTGCCACAGAGCCTATCTTCAAGACTGACAGGACACAGAGCAGGGGAAGCAGGCTGGGCTGTCGAAGGCAAGGCACTGGTCTGTGCGCTGAATTTCAAAGGACAAACCCAGAGGGACAGGGGAGAAATCGGATTCTTTCCACTTCTTAAAGGGATTATGCACGATGCCGGTTGGTGGGGAGAAAAAGAAAATCTACCAGCTAAAAAGTGCAGGAGACTTTCCAGCTGGGAGCTGGGAGCCTTTGGACATCAAATTGACATTAATATGGTGCTCAATGAGGAGAAGAGGCTGCAGGACCCAAATTGGCAAGGGCTTAATTAGAGCCGCAATAAAACCCGCCCTGAAGGCTTTTTGCTTTGGAGCCTTTCTCCCACCACGCTCTGCGGGCAAGGATTAGGGGTCTTGAGCAGCTTTTCCTGCCCAGCAACCCCTGCCCTCCAGACAGCTTGACATTGGCAGGAGGGGGAAACATCTGGGTCAGAGGTTCACAGGCCCAGCTGGACTCTGGCCAAAGAGCTGAAGCATCTGTTGGGAGGCACGTTGGGGAGACTCAGGACCTTTCTGGGGGCTGGGATCTGGGGGCAAGAAAGACCCCTGGCTGGGCTCTCTGGGGCACGCTCAGGTGTGCGGGAAGAACATTCTCGCCATGGCCTGTGTCGTGTGCCAAGGCCAGATGGAGGCCCCGCCTGTTCCTTTGGAATCGGGGAGCTGCGCAAGCCAGGTCTTAAAGACGGCACCAGCTCACGACCTCTGAGGCTGTGGGGCGGCAGCACTGGGTGGCGGAGCCCGGAAGCTTGCCTCTGGAGTCAGTGAGCCCCGAGTTCGAATCCTGCCTGGGCGCCTTTGTAATCCTATTACCTTGAGCAGCTGCTTCTTTCTTTTTAAACAGCTTTATTGAAGTATAGTTTATACGCCATGAAACACAGCTGTTCCTTCCTAAGCCTTAACACCCTCACCTGTGGGACCAGGCACTAATGGCCCTATCCCTTGGAGCTGTGAGCCCGGGAGAAGTCCACACTCTGCCAACCCGAGAGATTGTCATTATTAGTGGGGGTCCAGGTACACGGGGCCCAGGGCACAAGCTTCCGTTGCTAAGAGGAGTGATGTGGGCTACTCGGGTCGCTGGCTGTCGGAGCGCCCCGTCTCGCCACTTGGGTCCTGGAGACCCTCACAATTCAAGCCCACCTTGCCTTGGCTCACTACCCTGGCCTTGGACTCTCCTTACCTCCCAACTGTGTGGCTTGCTTGCCCCACGCCGCTTGCACCAAAGCAGAAGCATTCAGGGTTCCTCCGTGTGTGTGTGTGTGTGTGTGTGTGTGTGTGTGAGAGAGAGAGAGAGAGAGAGAGAGAGGGCATCTGGTCTCCCACCCAGACGGGCCACTGTTTGCACGCAGACACGGCACCCACCACAGTGGGTTTTGCTCTCATCTGTCCGTCACAGGCTCAGCCCCAAGAAGCACAGGCCAAAGCTCAGGCGGCTGGGCCAGCTTCTGTTCTGGCATTCCCAGAGCAGACCCACCCTTCACCCCAAAGAGGATCTCTGGGCCAGGAGGCTCCCCTGAAATCCCTGAGGCTCCTGACTAGCCCCTGCCTCCTGCAAATGCCTCCGGTGGAGAAGGGAGGAGGGCAGAAATAAAAAGAGCTGGGGTGGGTCACCGCCCGGGTCCCCTGGAGGAGTGAAAGATGGCCCAGGAACAAGGGGGACTTTTCCACGGCGTGCACGCAGGCGTGGAGAGGGCTGAGCCCCACTCCAGGCCAAGGTGGGGAGAGGCTGAGTGTGGATCCCTTCCCCAGCTGAAGGAGGGATTTCTGCCCAGTGGAGACCTGGTCTGCCCCTTCCCGGGTCTGTGCAGAGAGAGAGGAAATGTCATGGCTCTGACCAAGGAGTGAGGAGCCCCTGCCATCTCCTCTCTGCTGGGGCACACTGCTGAGGCACCCCTTCCCAGCTGGGACCAGGAAGAATTCCCTTGGACACATCCTCCTGGCACCCTCTGGGAAGAACGAGTCCTTTCAGACTCCCGGCATTTGCAGTGGGCAGGGACAGGTGAGCCCAGGGGGCCACCCAGCACCCCAGGCCTCGACTACACACCCATCCTCCTTTGGAGGGGAATTAGAACCAGAGAGCAGGTGTTTCCAAGCCTGTCTGTCGCTGCAGACCCCTAAGAGTGGCTGCTCTGGTTGATATGGGGCAGGATAGGATGCTGGCCCTGGCCTGGCCCTGCCCCACACACCCAGCCCAGAAAAGCTCAGCAGTCCCTCTTCTAAACAGCCTGGGCCCAGAGGTGCCCTTCTGCCTTGCTGATCAGAGGAGTTCGCCTTCTTGGCTAACGCTGCGCTGTCTACTCGCAGGGATCAGCTGCTGAGGAGGACCTGGAAGCAGAGCAATGGTGTGTGTGGGGGGGTGGCGAGCCAGCTCCACAGGTCACTGAGGCAGGAGCTCCCCTGGGGGACAGGCTTTGGGTGAACTTCCTGTGGCCTCAGTGCCTCTGGGAACCTCCCCTTCCTTAGTCGCCCTGTCCTCTCGGCCATGCTGGTCTCGGGACCCTCCTGAGCAGTGTTTTGGGAGGCTGGGGAAAGAAGCATCGAGGGGCATGAAGTGAGCCCCAGACCCCCTGGCTCGGGCCCGGTCACAGGAGGGCCTAGACGTCCTCAAGGCCCTCAGTCCCACACTCTGGGCTCTAGGGTCTAATGTTCTCTAAGAGCCAAGCCCCAGCAGCAGGGCACATCACACACAGAGGCGGGGACGTGGTGGGAAGTGGGGAAGAGCAGCGCAGCTGCGCCGTCCCCGGGCACCCACCTGTGGGCTGTGGGGTGCTGGGGGCCGTGGGGGCCCGCCCAGTGGAAGTGGAGGGGGCAGGAGTGCTGGGGACCCCTCTCATGGCCACAGTGGCCACAGGGGCCTTGGGGACGGGGTCTTTCCGGGGCCTGCCGACGCCTGGCAAGAGACGAGAAAGGCAAGAGGGTGGGGAGTTGGCAGGTGGGGGGGCGGCGCAGAGAAGCCACTTCCGGCCTCACTGAGGGGGCCGGCATCCGCTCCCGGGTCCACCTTCCTCTGGCACCGTCTCTGCCCCCAAGTGTCCCAGCAGGGAGCAGCCCACGGTGGGCTGCGCCCCCCTCGAGCATTTCTGAAACATGAAGTGACCAGCGGCTACCTTTGACCCTGGCAAGTCATCTCCTGCTGACTCTAAAAGCTGACGGCAGAACCCACGGGGGGTGGGTGGGGGGCACGCGGGGGGCGGGGGCACACGGCGGGGTGGGGTACCGGAAGCACCTGCTTAGCCAGGGCCTGGTGCCGTGAACGCTGAGGACTTGTCAGCCTGCGGGTGCCCACGCCCAACCCCCCTCCCACGCTCTGCCCCCTCTGAGCTGGCCTGCAGGCAGCAGGATCCCGGCGCACCTGCCCCAGCCTCACGGGCACACAGGTGCAGGCTGCCCCGAGCCAGGCAAACCCCACAGTCGGGGGGACTTCTGCCCCTCTGGAGGGGAAGGAGGCATGGGGAGTTCACCCAGGGCTTGTGGGGGCCCTTTCCAAAGCAGCACTGACCAGGAAGCTCGAGGGGAGAAATGTGGGAGGCGTGGGCTGAGGGCCACAGCCCAGGGGACAGGAGGGAGCGGGGAGAGGTGACGAAGTGAATGGGGTGCAGGTGGAGTCGTGCACTGGGGGCCCCGGTGGCCTTCCCCAGGGTGGTGGACCCGGAGCGTACTTACTGCCAACAGCAGAGCCTGCAGCCGCACCTGGGGGGAGAGAAGGAGGGTCACAGGCCTCCCCGCGGAGAGGGGGGCGGTGACAGGGCTGGGGGAGGGAGACCTGGAGCCACGTGCGGGCTGACCCCGTGTATCCAGTTTCATCCTCAGGGCTGCCCTGAGAGGGAGGGGCCGCCTTAGCCCATTTTGCGGATGGAGAAACTGCCTCAGAGCCATGACTGACCCCAGGGGACCCGCTGATAAGTGTCAAACACTCCACTGGGGGCTTCATATGCACCCCCGTCTTTGAGGTTAGACTCTCAGGCCCTCCCACGCAGGACAAGGAGGTGGGAGGGCCTTTCTTCAGGGGGCACTGGGGTGCCCGAGGACAGGAGAGGCACCGCGACAGGGGCAGACGGGTTTCCTGGAGGCGCTGATGGAACTGGCCACCGGAGAGAAACCACAGCGTGTGCTCCCATCTGCGGAGACGTGGATTTGGCCGAGTGACTCACTGAAACAGAAGCGTAGCCGCTCGCGCGTGTGGAGCGCTCACTGTGTGCCAGGCACGTGCTAAGCGTGGCCCCCACGCGGCCCATTTAGTCCTTGCCAAAGCCCACAGGGGCTCTCGGGGTCCTGATTCTACAGCTCGGGGACACAGGGCTCGGGGTAAAATGACCTGCCCAGGGCCACACGGCTGTGAGTGGAGGCCTTTCTGTGTGTGTCGGTGCCCCGGGGGCTGAAGGAGGCCTAAGGTCAGGGGTTGACCAGGGAGTCTCCGGAGGGCAGGGTAAGAATCCTCAGTCCCAGAAGGAAGGAGCTGGTGCCAGCTTCCCCCTGAAGAAGAACAGAGGGTGAGGACGCCCCTCGGTGCCTGGGGTGGGGGTGTGGACAGCAGGCTACGTGGCACACAGACCGCCCCCGAGTGAGCCCAGGGGACGCCAGGGGGGCCCGGGACGATGATCTCACAGGGCCTTGTGTCAGGGGCGGGGGTTGGACTGGGTTAGGATTTGATTCTGAGGGTGCCGGGCGGGGGCGCCCTGGTGAGGAGAGCCCTTTGCCTGCAGCGGGGAGGACGGGGAGGGTGGACTAGCAGGCCCAGACAGGAGGGCCGCTCTTGCGGCAATGAGGGAGGGGTGTGGAGCCCGAGCGGGGGGCAGTGGAGAGGAGCGGCAGGGAGGGGCTAGCGTCAAGGGAGACCCCCACACTTGCAGCTTGGCCCCCTGGGTGTTGGTGCCATTACTGGGATGGGGACATGGTGGGGGCAAAATTAACCTGGGACTTGTTTCTGTCTGTGTCTTGGGGGCTGTTTTCTCCTGTTGTCCTAGAGAAGGGGGGGTTCGCGTTAGGCTGAGGACACACAGCACCTCCAGCCTCATCTCTGCTCCGGGGCATTCCGGAGACACCCCTCCTTCCCGGGGTGGGGGACTCTGGAGAAGCAGGGACCAGCTCCAGGAGCTCCCCAGATGAAGGGGCGTCGCCTGCCCCTGCAGGACGGAGGGGAGAGGGTCCAGAGGCAAAGTCTGGTCTGTGCTCGCGTGCGGGTGTCTGTCCGCGGCCGGCTGGGCAGAGGGTGGGCACCGCGGGGTGGGGCCTGCAGTTCGGAGCTGGCCTGTGAGTCTGCCAGTGTCAGGAGACTTGGGCAGATCTTCCAGGAGGTGGGGCGCAGACCGGGGAGGAGGAGGCCCGCAGGACAGATGAAGGGAGGCAGACTGCCAGTCAGAGAGGGAGGTGACAGCCACTAAAGAAAGGGCTCCAACAAAGAGATGGGTGGGGAGGGGAGGGGAGGGAGGGGAGGGAGCCAGCGGGGAGGGAGCCGGCGGGGCGGCTGTCAGCACCCAGAGCTCTGGGTGCCTTTGAAGGCCCAGAGTGCCAGGAGCGCCCACCCCTTCAAAGGCCTGTCGCCCGGCACAGGCATGACAGGCCTGTGATGGCCTCGCTGTGAGGCTTTCAGCTTTGATCAGCCTAAAGTCACATAAATCTTTCACGTCGGTGGAGGGAGGGCGTCAGTGGAGGGGCTCCCACGAGGGTGCCCAGGCAGGCGGGTGGTCCCGGGGCAGGGGGCCGCCACCCCGCTCTGGCTTTGGAACCGGGCCCAGGGCTGGCGCATCGCTCGCTGCTGGACCAGGGCTGCTGGGCCTCAGGTTGCTCGTCTGGAGAGCGGGGGGAATCCCAACTCCACCCGTGGGGCAGCTGTGAGGGCTAAGGGAGAAGCGATGTATCGAGTGCCTGGTGCAGCCTCTGTCGGAGAGCGGGCAAGTGTCGGACCTCAGTGGCGTCGCTAGGGGGCTGGCCAGGGCGAGTCCTCCCTAGGGGCCAGCCCCAGCCCCTCCCCACGGCAGCTCGAGGGCTCCCTGGGATTTGTGATTTCATGAAAACATCCATGGACTGTGCTGGAGGCCCCTGATGAGTGGGTCCCCCCAAAGGGTGTTCACAAGGCAGGCACGTGTGGGCACACCCCGAGGAGCACTCCCCTGGCACGGGAAGGCTGGGCGGGAAGAGGGGATGATGCAGAGAAAGGAGGCCGGGAGGCCAGAGGGGATCTCAGACCAGGGCCTCGAAGGACCCCTCTGTAAAGTGGGATAAAAGAGACCCCCTTCCAGGGGCAACTCTGAGGGTCAAGGGGGGCGGTGACCGCGCAGCACGCGGTGCCCATGTGGCAGGTTGTAAATGCCCCGTAAGTGCTGGTTATGAGGGATGGTGCTGCTGGAGTCAGGGGTCTCCGCCACCCCCCTCCCGACGCCCCGTGGTGCCTTCTCTCCAGCCTGCAGGGTCAAGCTGCGGAAGGACAGCAGGAAAGATGCTGAGCAGCTCATCTCGGGTTTCCCTTGGCGCCCGGGGCGGGAAGGGCAGCTTAGATGTTGCAGGAGGCAGGTGTGCCGAGTAACAGGGGGTGTGAGTGTGCACACGTTGGCACGCATGTCTGTGCGTGTGCATGCTCGTGTGTGTGTGTGACCACAGCCCCCAGGGTGGAGAGCGGGGGAGGCCGCAGCCTCACTGGCCGGGGTCGGGTCGAGGGGGGTACGTACACGCGTTGGGAGAGCCGTGGGGCAGCGGCAGGTAGGAGCCGGCGCGCCAGGACCGGGTGCGGAAGTTCCTCTTGCACTTGCCGCAGTCGGGGCCCGTGGTGTTGTGCTCACACTCACACTGCAGACTGCCCTCCCTCACGGAGCACAAGTTAGCGTGCAGGTTGCACTTGCACCTGGGGGGGTGGGGACACAGAGGGCCAGAGAGGTCAGTGAACTCGTGGGCAGGTGGGCGCGGGAGGGTGACCCTGGAGGCCTCCCGTCCAACCTGCTAGGACTCTCCTTTGGGACAAAACCTCCCTGATCACCCTGCTCTTCAGAAAGCACCATTTCAACCCTTTCCCAGGATAAAGCTGCCCCTGCCGCCCGTCTCCTCCCCTGTCTGGTGGTGCCTGCAGCGTTCTCCGACATCCCAGGACAGGGTGACAAGGTGACCTTGACCAGATGCTGTGTCCTAATCACCTTTGCTCTTGACCGAGACAGGCTGACAGGCAGCAAGGGCTGCTCACCAGCCCTCCCTGCGTAGACCCGGCCCCGGCCCAGGGCCACCCCTCAGCTCTCAGCCTCGGCCCACACCCACACCCTTGAGGGCAGATGGAGAGAACCCCGACTCCCAAACCCCGCCGGTTCATCCACACATGTATTATTCATTCATTCATTCAAATATTTATAGGCAACTCATTATTCTGAAATCCGGCAAATAAAGGGAGGGAATCAAGCATGTCCTCTCTGTCCTGTGTAAACTGTACCTCTGAGTAACCAACTGTGGATGAGGGGATGTTTCTTTCTATAGAAGCATCCCAGCTAATAACCGAAGAGGGAAGGATTAGAAGGTCGCCATGTAGCAGCCCTCCCTTCGCCAGTGGCCCGAGGCTCTGAGCGGCAGCTGCCGGCCATCGCGCAGAGATGGCCGACCAATGGTAGGACACACGGTACCCCAACGTGGTCTCACCAAAACACACTGAACTTGAATCTGATCGAGCCTCCGCATCCGTCTACGAAATCCCAGGGAATACGGGGGGCAGAGACACACAGAACAACAGCAGTGTGACGCAGTCAGCCCAGTCCAGACGGAGGGGACCCCAGGGGTGACGAACCAGCTCTCTACCAGCTGAAGGGCAGGGGCAAAACCGATGTGGGGGGGGACCCAGATCAAGAGAAGCCTCAAAGGCATCAACCAGTTGCAGGGCGAGGACCTCATGTGGATCGTGAGTCAAACAACTTCTAAACTCAAATAAACCAATATTCATGAAACAATTGGAAATCCGAAGACTGACTGTATTTGATGATCTTAAATTAATGTTGACTAGACGTGGGGATGGTGGTGGGGTTACATTTTTTAAAGTCCTTCTCCTTTCAAGATACACACTGAAGTATTTACAGATGAAATGAACTGGGGTCTGGGATTTGCTTCAGAATAACACGGAAAGGAAGGAGGCGGCGGGAGATGGGGCTGAAACCAGAGAGGCCACGAGCTGATAGCTGCCCAAGTCGGGGGACAGGTAAACGGCAGTCCTCTTTTTGCGTATGCATGTTGGAAATCCTCCATAAGGAAAAGAAAGCAAGAGTGCTCTAGGTTCTGATACGGGAAGATGTCCCAGGTATACGGTCAATATTTATAAAAAGCAACTTGCAGAATAACGCGTTTAGTAGAATCCTGTTTTTGTTAAAATATGCAAAAACTATAGAGAGAGGGTACCTGTTATGTGCCAGGCTCTGGGCTGGGGAGCAGACCGTGGAATGGTCAACACAGCTGGTGGGGTCCCTGCTCTGGCGGAGTATACAGTCTGTCTAGTAGGGCAATGACTGAAACCAGTGATTGGGTTGAATCCGTGGAGCATGGGGACATGTTAGGGCAGTGCAGCCATTCCGTGTGACACGGTCAGGGGGGAGGCAGGACACTGTGCACTGGTCCAAACCCACAGAGCTGACAACACTGAGAGGGACGCGTGATGTAACCTACGGGCTCTGGTCCACAGTAACACACCACCGCTCATCACCTGTAACGAATTTACCACGCCGGTGCAAACAGTAATGAGGGGGGAGACAGGTACCCGGAGACGGGGGTATTGGCGACTCTCTCCACCATGGGCTCTAGCCTCTCTAAGCCTAAAACTGCTCCAAAACATGACGTCTATTAATTTGACAACAGTCATCGTGCAAATCTTTAACTAATGGCAATTGTTATAGGTGCCCAAGCATCATACAGGAGAGGGAATCATGGGGGGGGTCTTAACTTAGTCTTGGGGGAGCAGGATGGGCTTCCAGGAAGAACAGTTTTAAACTAAGGCCTGAAGGAGGATCAAGAGTTTGCCAGACAAGGAGGAGAGAACCTTCTGGAAAGAGGCAAGAACAGGAGGAAAGATCCCAGCCCCGCCCCTGAGGTCTGAGAGGAGGCCAGCCCAGGACACAGAGGCCGCTGGGAGGTTGGAGGCGGTCTGCCCTGGGGCATCGTGTACATCCCTGGGGCAGCTCCGTGCAGAATGCCCTGTCTGGGGCGCCAGAGCCAGGGAGGGGAGGTCAGGGAGAAAGCTGGGCGTCGGCTGGCAGCAAAGAACAGAGGCCTGGGGCGCCTGGGTGGCTCAGATGGTTAAGCGTCTGCCTTCGGCTCAGGTCATGATCCCAGGGTCCTGGGATCGAGCCCCGCATCGGGCTCCCTGCTCCTTGGGAGTCTGCTTCTCCCTCTCTCTCTCTCCCTCTCTCTCTCTCCTCCTCTGTCTCTCATGAATAAATAAATAAAATCTTAAAAAAAAAAAAAGAACAGAGGCCTGGGCTCGGGTGGAGGCACGGAGGCCAGCCTGTGGTATTCAGTTATGGCAGCCCCAGGCAGACTAATACATGCGTCTTCCGGTGACATTTAAAATACATGATATATCCACACCCAAATCACCAAGAGAAAATGTATCTGGGTATTAGCGTGATTGTCCTAGGTCAGGAAGGGATGGGCTGATACATGGTTTTTATTTTCTTCTTTGTCACGTTGCACATTTCCTACATTCTCTATCGTGAGCAGGTATTACGTGTATAAGCGGATGACAAATGTTATTTTAAACTGGGTGGTCAGGCCAGGGTGGGGAGGGTGGCTGGCTGCCGAGCTCACGCATGCCTTTCCTCTTGGAGGGGACGTCCTCCAGGTCTCAGGGGGGCTGAGTGGGAAACCCTGCTCCAAGTCACACACCACCCGCGTTCGTGACTCGTTCTCGGGTCCAGGGATAGCTCCCGAATTCTCCGGAAGGGAATTCTGATGCAGACAAAGGCCCTGTCCTTGGTGTCAGCCTGTACTCTTTCTTACTGTCCAGCCGCCACCACCCCTTCTCCCTACAGCCTGGGCCCTGACCGTGTGGAGAATCTACTGCAGCGTAGAGCTGGGCTCCATGGCGCATGAGGAAGCCTGTTCACTCTTTCTCCGGAGTTCCAATCCACGGCCACATAGGCACAGTGGACCTGCCGTGTGCTCAGCTCTCGGAAAGGCACAGGGGGATGGGCAGGCACCTGTTGGCGCTGGTGACGCTTCTTCCTGGGGAAACTAGACCCCAGAGCTAGTCCCTGGCAAAGAGAGGTCCTGTGCTTAACCTCACTGGTCAGCACATACGATGCCTCCCTAATACCCTCACGCCCCCTCCCCGACCCCCACACGCACAGTGCCCACTGGCAGATCACAGGCTCTGACAAATCCTGCAGGAAAGAAACCCGTCTGACTTTGTCTAACAGAGTTTGTTTGCAAAATGAAGTTGACCTCAGACTTTTTTTTCCCTTCTGAAAGGGAATTTAACATCCCACTGAGCTAGCTGGAGAGGAACACCCCAGCTATGTGGAACCAGGAATGTACTCCATGCCTCTGGCCCGAGGACGGGATATTTTTAGGTATCAGCTACATAAAGAAAAGATTGCCATCTCAACTCTGGGTGATAACACTGACCTTGGCTTGTTAAAAATGCATAAGGACCGGCTGAATCTGAGAAGCAGATTGTAATGATGGTAGTGGGGAGTCCGGGGTGTCAGAGATGGACAGGCCCATGGGGTCCAGGCTGGGGAGAAGCCAAGGCCGTGCAGCTAGTTACTCCAGACCCAAATCCCGATCCCGCTCTGCCCCAGTCCCCTGCTGGCCAGGCCCTCCCACAGGCCTCCTCTCCCAGAGGGTGTCTTGGCTTCTCCACCCTCTCTGGCTGAGCCCTGGAAGGAGCCCGGTGTCTCCTCCACCAAGGAGAGAAGTTCCCTGTTGGGCACAGCTGCCAGGAGAAGCCCACGTAGTGGGGGAAAGCCTCACCAGGGCTGGCACAGAAATGGAACCCAGTCAACGGAGGTGTTTCTTAGACTTCCTGATTTTGCAGGAGGGTCTGGGTGATGCTGCCTCTGTGTGCACAGGTGCGTGGGGCTTGGCCTTTCTGGCTCTCTCCTTGTGCTCTCCTGCTCTCTTTCTCTCTAATCTCTCCAGGTCTCTCTGTCTCTCCCTCCCCATCTCTGTCCAGCATGTGTTCTGAGCTCCCTTTCCTCTGGACCCCGGCATATGCTGTTCCCTCCACCTGGAGCATGCTGCCAGGCCCCACCCCCGTCTCCTAAAGCAAACCCCTGGGGGAAGCGTCAGGTTTGAGGTCAAATGTCACTTCTGCAGGGGAAATTTTCACAATCCCTGCTCCGTCAGCCCCTGTTAGACCATCCCTCATCCCCAATAAGCGTCAGCATTAGCACCGTCTCCCACGGTGGAGCGCATGATGTGACTGTGGGAGATGCATGCGCGAACTATAAAACAATTTCGGGATTAGTATTTATTTTGAACACACAGTATTTTTTTTTTAAAGTGACAATCTCATCAGGCCCGGGATCTTAAAAATATTATTGCCTACGTGAGGCAATGAAGTATATTCACTTAAAGCAACTATTAAGCAAGTAAATTAATAATATGGGATATCCACACGCACAAGAATGAAGTCACACCATAAACAGAAATTAACTCAAAATGGATCGAAGACCTATACGTAAAAGCTGAAACTAGAAAAACGGAAACATACAGGCAAATCTCTGTGACTTTGGGTAAAGCGGTGGTTTCTTATCCAAGACGCCCAAAGCACAGACAACAGAAGAAAAGAAAATGTATACATTGGATTTTATCAAAATTAAAAACCTGTGTGTGTCAAAAGGCCACAGTCAAGAAAGTGAAAAGACAATTCATAGAATG